TTTATCAATCATAATGAGATTGAAGACAAATAATAATAAGTTTGGAAAGGTAAATATTGCTTAGGGGTAAAAGCACAGAGAATATGATTAGTTTGGATTTGAGGCACCGTTTTCAGGTTGGTTGGAGAATTTTTACTCTATGTTCCTTCAGGAGCTTTGAGATGCAAGAAGAATTCTAAACTTTTCCAATCTATATCTTTGATAGGTTTCCCAATCATGAAAATTAAGATTTTCTGGAAGATTTTGTAGTATTACATTGATAGCTAATTAAGCAACATTGGAAAGTTAGAGACGAGATTTTTCGTGGTTCTTTTCCATAGCTCTTCAAGGTTAGTTACAGCTTAGTTTTTTGAGTAAATTAATAAGCATTTCTCGCTTATCAAATAAAAATAAATTTTGGTAGTTCTTCTCTACACAATCCACGCTAAAGATTCGTCGATAGCTTTGAATTCGAATATGATAGTTAGTTTATGGATTTGCTAGGTAAGTTGAACACACTGCTTACAGCTATGAGATTCTAAAAATGCTAGGTAACGTGGCCCATCAATATTTACCTACACCATCATCTCTAGAATTATTACAAGAGTAATGTTGATTTATTTCATGGTGGCGGTCGGAGGCAGTAGGTATGTCCAATTCTCATCGAACTAGGAAATTGGCAGTTTAGTGAATAGAGTTTCAAGGACGACTGAGGATCAGATATGAAATACTCCATATCTAAATTTGAGACTCCTAAATCTGATTTGGCGCAAGAACAACTTTCGCTCATTTGAACTCGTTTTTCAGAATTTCAAGCCGTAATTAGAATTCTGCAAACTTAGACTGCAAATGTCTCTACTACGTACTTCCTAGTGATGCACCGCAGATATTTTACCAGTTAAGGCTAACGCTATACTTCTCCAAAAAATGCATGAACATAAGAGATATGGTATGTTTCCACAGAAAATCGACACCTTTCATGAATGCCGCGATACAAACTTCGAAAAGCTCGAAAAATGTCCACCGTTAGCTGTATCTAAAATGAAATCAAAATGTAATGGGACGCAATTGTGCAAAGCCGATGGCTCGTGGTCGCATACGATATCTCGTATTCACTAACCCTCTCCACTTTATCACAAACAAATGCTAGTCAAATCAACCTTTGAAGGGAACCGCATGCAAGATTACATCCTTTAAACCCCTATGATTCTTTAGGTGCTTGAATAATTGATGCCTTTAAATCCGCTAAAAGGACTTGCTGCTATGTGTTGCCGGAAGAGGTCTAACTCGAGGAAATCCTCTAATGAAAAAATAAAGTCCATAAGGAAATCGGGGAGGAGGAAAATTTCGTCAAAGTCAGGAAGAAAAAATAGGACGACTAAAAGTGAAGTAGAAAGTATTTCATCAGAAAATATAGAGAAAAAGAATTCGAAAAAAGCATTTAACGATTCCGCACAGTCACAGGTAAATTTCTCAAGTGAGGGCGTCAATTATTGCATGGGTAAGATATATTGCTAACAATCAACTGTCTCTTTATTAGGAAGATTGGGATGAAATGCCCAGTCACAGCGAACGCGCATCAGCAGGAGGTTCTAACTCTAACGGATCGGCTCCACCTCTAAAAATGAAGAGTGCTACGGATTCCGAGAAAATCTTAGATTATTGGACGAATCCGGAAGGGAAAAAATCTACAGAGGAAAAAAAGGACTCGGATGATCTTCATACAGCAATTGATGATGAAAAAGTTGAAAACAAAGTTGTTCTTTCTATTGTAGAAGAGCCTCCTCTTCTGGCGAATTTCGAAGATGAACGACAGAAAAAAGGGAAAATAGAAGGGGCAAAAAAAGCTGTTGCGCTCCCTCTAGATCTCACACCAAAAGCCGGCGCACATTCAGGAGAAAACGCATCGTTAAGATCTCCAGAATGCTTGAATCGTCAAGCACAACCTATAGCAGCAAGAGGTCTAAGGGTTGAGTTTTGTTACCTAAACTCATCTAAATATGACTCTAAAACAAATGCTTCTGT